AGGATAGGTTGGAGTCCAGAATGACACCAAGTACTCTGGCCTGCGGGGCGGGTTTGATGGTGGCGTTGTTGGACATCATGGAGAAGTCAATGGTGGGTGGGTCCGGGCTGGGGGGGGAAGACAAGAAACTCAGTTTTGGAGAGGTTCAGTTTAAGGAAGTGGAGCGACATCCAGTCTGATATGTCGCTCAGTAGGTGTGTGATTCGGGCGGAGACTGAGGGGGTGAGGTGGGGGGTTGAGAGAGAGATTTGTGTGTCGTCGGCATATAGGTGGCAGTTAAAGCCGTGAGAGTGTATGAGTTGGCCAAGGGAGGAGTTGTAGATGGAGAAGAGAAGGGGCCCAAGGGCGGAGCCTTGAGGGACCCCAACAGAGAGGGGGAGTGAGGGGGAGGTGGTAGCATTATAGGTAACGCTGAAAGAGCGTTGTGACAGGTAGGATGAGAGCCAGGAGAGAGCAGAATCTCTGAGGCCGAGGGAGTGTAGTTTTTTTGAGGAGGAGGGGGTGGTCGACTGTGTCGAAGGCCGCGGAGAGGTCAAGGAGTAGGAGCACTGAATAGTGGCCATTAGCTTTGGCGGTTAGCAGGTCGTTGGAGAGTTTGAGTAAGGCAGTTTCGGTGGAGTGTAGGGGACGGAAGCCGGACTGTAGGGGATCGAGGAGGTTGTTGTCGTTGAGGTGAGAGCTTAGGCGGGTGTAGACTAGGCGATTGAGGAGTTTGGATGTGAATGGGAGCAGGGAGATGGGTCTGAGGTTGTTCGGGTCATTGGGGTCCAGGGAGGGCTTTTTAAGTATGGGGGGTGATGTGTGCATGCTTCAGAGGGGAGGGGAAAGTTGTGAAGGGATAGGGTCGAGGGGGCAGGTGGTGATGGGGGCATCAGAGAGGACCTTGGAAACTTCCTCAATGGTAGTAAGGTCAAAGGTGCGGAGTGTTGAGGGGGCTTCAGTATGAGGAATGTAGGGTGGGGTGGAAGTGGAGGTCAGAGCAGTGGTGGGGCCGTGGGAGAGAGGGGTGATGAGGGGGTAGCTGAGTGAGGGGAAACGGGGTTGGAGGGAGTTTGAGCAGTGACAAAGTCCCTGCGGGTTATGTCGAGGGAGAGGGGGGGTGAGGGGGGGTAGCTGTGTAAGAGGGGACGGGTTGAGAGGGAGTGTGAGTTGCGGCGATGACTTTGCGAATTGTGTCAATCTTGTTTTTGAAGTGATTGGCAATCTCAAGGGCGGTGAGTGAGGTGCTGGGTGGAGGTGGGGGTGGAGAGAGTAGAGAGTTGAAGGTGGAGAAGAGTCAGCGAGGATTGAAGGAGAGGGCCTTGATGAGGGTCAGGAAGTAGGCTTGTTTGGCTGCGTGGAGGGAGGAGGTGTAGGTGTGGAAGGCAGATTTGTAGCGGGAGAAGGCTTGTTGGGATTTGGTTTTGCACCATAGTCGCTCCAGGGCACGACTGTGTCGTTTGAGGGTTTTGGTGTGATCAGTCTGCCAGGGCTGGAGTGATCGGGGTCTGATGTTGCGTGTGGTTAAAGGCGCTAGTGAGTCAAGGGCTGTTGACAGCACGTTTGTTATAGGCAGTCATAACCAAGTCGGGGCAGGACAGGGGGAGGATGCTGTTGTGGAGTTGATCAGCTGCAGAGTGGAGGAAGGCAGGGTTAAGGTTGTGGAGGTTACGGCTGGTAGTAGTGTGACATTTGAAAGGGTAGGCGTTGGAGGACGAGGAGATAGAGAAGGTAAGCAGGTTGTGGTCAGAGAGAGGGAAGGGGGTGTTAGTGAGGTTGTGGGGAGCGCAGCGGTTGGAGAAGACGAGATCAAGGATATTACCGTCGGAGTGGGTGGGGGATTGTATGCACTGTGCAAAGGAGGAGGTTAAGTGAAGGAGGTGGGATGTGGCCGGGTTGTCGAGGTTGATAGGGATGTTGAAATCCCCAAGGATGATGGTGGGTAGCTCAGAGGAGAGGAAGAAGGGTAGTCAGGGGGAAAAGTCATCCAGGAAGCGGGATATGGATCCAGGAGGCCGGTATATCACAGCAATCTTCAGGGGGGTTGGGGGAGAATAGTCGAACGCAGTGGGCCTCGAAGGAGAAGGATAGAGAGAGGAGGTTTGGGAGGACTCGGAAGGTGCTCTGTGGTGACAGGAGCAGACCAACCCCACCACCTTTACGACCGTTGAGTCTGGATGAGTGGTCCAAGTGAGACCTCCATAGGAGAGTGCAGCAGGGGAGGTAGAGTCAGTGGCCTGGATCCAGGTTTCCGTGATCGCTAGGAGGTTGAGGGAGCGGGAAACAAAGAGGTCGTGGATGGCGGTAAGCTTGTTGCACACTGATCAGGGGTTCAGGAGTGCACATGAAAACGGGGGGGGGGGGGGGTGATTTTAGGGAGCAGGGGGACAGATACTACGTTGCAGGGGTTGCGGCAGGACGTGGAGGCGGGAGGGTGTTGTGTGGGTGAGGGAGGTGGTGGAGGGCCAGGATTCAGGGAGATGTCCCCTGCGGTTAGGAGGAGGAGAAGGGTGAGAAAGGTGGCATGGTAGCGGGATGTGCAGGAGCGTGTGAAACTACTAGTGGAGGTGCTCGGGTCAGTGGGAGAGTGGAGTATTAGGAGGAGGTGGTGGGTGCCGCAGAGGGGTGAAGGAAGCAGTGAGGACACAATATACAATTGTTTGGGAGGAGCAAAGGCATATAGTGAATGGATTTTGGGAACGGAGGAGAGGAAAATGAGGAGGAGGAGTGGAAGAGGCATTTTATGGAGGTGCCCAGGAGGGCGGATAGGAGTGGTGGGAGGCTTGGTTGTCGATACGCCTCTGCCCGCTGGACTATCTCATCGATGTGTCTTCTGGTGGCTGGAGTTTAGGGGAGAAGGGAGAGGGGATCGGGTGTGGATGGATGGTTTCCAGGGGCGCTTGAGTGGCGCCAGTCTGGGGTGCAGAGGGGTCTCTCGTTGTGGTGGCTTTCAACAAGGGTTCAAGTCTTTAGGTCAAGTTGAGCTGGGGGTTGGTATGAGTGGAGGTGCTGAAGGCCCGGCGTCTCGAGGTGGAGTGGGCTAGGCGTTGGTAGGCGCAGTAGGGCCTGGCGTCAGTGGGTGTTGTGGGCCAGTGCATGTGGATGCTGCGGGCCAGCGACTGAGGATGCTAAGGGGCCCAGCGTCTGTGGGAGCGGTAGGGTCCGGCGATCGTAGGTGTTGTAGGGCTGGCGTCAGTGGGTGCAGGAGGCTCGCCGCAGGCTCGCCTCTGCCGGATTGGATGGGGCTGTGCGGTGGCCGGGGCACGGCTGTGTGGTACACAGTGGGGAACAGGGAAGCAGATCTGGTAGTGGTGGCTCTCCCTCTTGGTGCTGGTGGGGGTGGTTGCTGCTTCTCTTCTCACTGTGGCGGCTGTAGGTAGGGGTAGGCGGTGGTGGAAGCTCCCCTCTCACTGGTGCGGACGGCGGCGTCCTGGTTTGGGCGTTGGGCAGTAGCGAGGCTTAGAGGCAGCGGTAGGCTGCAGGGGACAGGGCCCCCGGTACTCCTCCTGGGCGATGGCAGGACCTCCGGAGCAGCTGGCGAAGGTACCGACAGGGGCGGGGATGGCGTCCCCTCTGGAGCGGAAATATCCCCAGAGGTTAAGAGAAGAAGGGTGAGGAAAGTAACATGGGAGACAGAGTGGGACTCAGGCATGTAAGAGATGTTTCCCAGGGTGTTTGCTTGCAGTCTGTCCAGCATGCAGTAGAGTTTCTTGCTGTTGTATCTTCCTGCTGCTTGAGTTCAACTGCTGTGTTTAACTGCTTCGTCTTAGCACTCCATCTACGCAGCACTCACGCAATGCAGCACCCCCATCAGAGACTGTGCCCCCCATCAGTGATCTCCCCCCATGAGCTGATCTAAATTTATAGGAAGATGCTCAAATGAACATTCAACTCCACCCCAATTAGAAGCTGATAAGGATCACATGAATAGTGGGGGATGTTTCTCAGGAAACAGACTACAGTTATAAAACGGGTGCAGCTAGAGGTGAGAACTGGTCAACGTATAATACACAAATATAAATACACTATTTGTTCTGAATTTAACAGGAGTCAATGCGTTTTCCTAGTTAAGAGTGGAGATAGGAGATAGGTGCATTTACCCAGAGAAAAGCAGCAGGAGTCAATGCGTTTTCCTAGTTAAGAAAACCGTATCAAAAATCTTAATCCGTAGCGCAAAACCTGGTAGTAGAAATTGAGCTGGGGGCGCATGCTACAGCGGGACTGTCCCTTGCTCACTGCCCCCCTCATGTCAAGATCCAGAGATGTGACCGCAGCTTGGGATGGCAACACATAAGCTCATGGACATGAGGCCTTGCGTTTTCATGAATGTAGGCAGTTGGTAGCAGGTGCGGGCCAGTGACCAGATGGCTAGATGTGATGGGCAGCAGGAATAGATAGAGGATCAAAGTTCTACATGGCTCTATCCATTCAGGAACAGCAGTGGGGAGATGCTTCCTCAGTGTATGAAGGGAAAGAGAGCTCAGAAAGAGGATACAAGACACTTTACATAAAAGATGACATCAACATGAACCCCTTGCACAGTAAAGTCAGCAAACTGGGGAAAATGGCATCCAGTAACCAATAAACGAGGAGGCTCATGGAGCTCTGCCCGACTGGCCTACTGAGTCTTCAAAGGCAGGGAAAGCGTAGAGGCAATTAGAGCAGCTCAGGACCTTGAAGGTACTCCACAGCTAACTTAATCAGAACTGAGTCTGGGAAGTGCCTTATGCCAAATTCAGTGCCCAAAGGTCACATACAGCCGCACAACATCCAGTGAAGTGGGGTATGAATGCTTTAAGGTCCACAATTAGTCTGAAGACAACTGCGTTGGATAGCTATGTAGGATAGCTGCACAGGAGAGAAGCCTCCAGCAGTGTTGAGTCTTGACTGAAGAAAATATTGAAGAATAAAGTGCTTCTGTATGCAGCAGTATAACCAGGATTAAGGCTTACTGTGTCCCTCAACTGATAAAAAAAAACTTTGAAGATTCTCTTTACAATAACACGTATATCTCTTTTAAGGTCCTCCAAGATGCTCTAGCAGTTTCTGAAGATGTGAGGCTTGAACATACAACAGCATCAATTCCTGAGGCAGCCGATACAGGTAATATATCCATTCCCAATATTAAGTGATAATTTCCCTAAATTGTTTACTGGTAATGGACAGTAACATAAATGGGATTACTGCTTGAAGGAATTGAGAGGGAGGACACTGGGTTCAGTTTTTTAATATATTCAAAATTCCTGCCACGAGCTGACCTCCAAATTGATTCTTTAGGAGCCTCCACCTTCCATGTGTTCTGCCATCTGTTCCCATAGACCAAGACAGTTTTACCTGGCTTCTCCAGTAATATGTCTGGTCCACCGCATGCTGAACTCTTGCATCATGCAGACCACAAACCATTCCGTTTGGGAATAAAACTAGTGAGTGTAGATGACTGCGCTGGACTGGTGAACCATCTGGCAGACTTAGGTGGATATTAGGTGGATATTTAAACATGCATCTCTGTAGAGAGGCGTAGGGCTGCCACAGCCCGTTTGTAGGTGCGGGAACCATAGGGAACTGTGAAATAGCCCCAATATCTAAGGGGATAAAATTGATGATACAAGGCAAAATAAAAAGTACACAAAGCGGAAAAACATTTGTATTTTAGACAGGGGCATTATATTTTCTTTTTCTTGTGATGATATTCCATTTAAAAAACATGTGCAATTGTTTTGAGCTCAAACATTTTTCTTTCAAAAATAGTAATTTTTAAGAAGTTTTCCATAGTTATAGGGAAAGTTAAAATCTTGTATTTAGAGCCTACCCTTTTCAAACCCCCATCCATCAGCTAGTTGTTCTCTGTCCCTGAGAAACGAGTGTTCTACTACAACTGCACTGGCTTTCCGGATTATTGCCTTTAAAGGATAAGTTCACCTTTCATAACATGTTACACCCATGTTCAGGATGCAACATGTAACATGTTATGAATACATCGCCCCCATTCCTCCTCTTTTGACAGCTAGCGGAGCATCTACTCTCTCCCCGCTAGCTGTCAAATTTTAAATGTGGCAGTGTGGCTGCGTCACTTAGCCTTAGCGGTTGTCGGTTTGTAGTTCTCAATGAACTATCACATCTCTGTGGAGCGCCGTGGTATTTCATTAATTCTTTCTGTCAGTATATCTGCTTGCCCGTATCCTGTACAAGACAAATCTGCAGGAGATCTGCATGGCACCAGCGATCTGATGATTGCTGGTGCAATGATTTCCAGGCTCCTGCAACCAAAAGAAATAAATGCACATTTTTTTAACTGCAGAAAAATGTGCATTTATTATTCTTGGTAAAAAGGTAAGCTTAACCTATTAATAGGTTGAGTCTAAAAGTCTGCGTTACCACTGAAAACTGCATTTATTGCATTATAGTATATAGAGGTACAAAGTGAAAACAAATGATAGTTTTGACAAGATTACATAATGTCCACAGTTTGTTGTAAATGCTGCTTGCACTGTCCAACATTGATTGTACAGGTTTGTCAGTGAATTTGAGTGTATAGCTCTATAGAGTGAACAATGCGTGAATCAGGTGGTGTTGTATTGCACGCTGCTGTAGAATGCTTCTGGCACTGGTGGCCAGAGAGAAGACCTATAGGTGTGTTTTTATGAGAAAGAGGACTTTGCAATGGACATTTGCTTTTTCATAGAGCAGTATTGATGCAGAAAACAGCAAGGGAACATTTCATGAGCAGTGGTATCACGTTTGTGGCTTACCTAGTCTTGCACATTGTGAAACTCTAGATGGCAAAATTGGAAATATACTGTCAAGTAACACACATATATATATATTATACAGTTGTGGCAAAATTATTCAACCCCCACTGAAAATTGAGTGTTTTGGCCAGTTTGACATTGCTTTTGATCATTCAGTCATCTTGCTTACATTTACATTAAAGAGGCACTTGTAGGTCAGACAAATATAACATAACAGTTATAATGAAATAACCACAAATGTCTTTTCTGTGCTCACAGCATTATCAGTTTTATTCAACCCCCAAGTGACATTCAATCTTAGTACTTAGTACAGCATCCTTTTACAGTTATAACAGCTTTTAAACGTGAAGCATAGCTTGACACAAGTGTCTTGCAGCGATCTACGGGTATCTTCGCCCATTCTTCATGGGCAAAGGCCTCCAGTTCAGTCACATTCTTAGGCTTGCGCACTGCAACTGCTTTCTTTAAGTCCCACCAGAGGTTCTCAATCGGATTTAAGTCTGGTGACTGCGATGGCCACTCCAAAATGTTCCAGCCTTTCCTCTGCAACCATGCTCTAGTGGACTTGGAGGTATGCTTGGGATCATTGTCCTGTTGAAAGGTCCAACGTCTCCCAAGCCTCAGGTGTGTGACGGACTGCATCACGTTTCCATCCAATATCTCCTGGTACTGAAGAGAATTCATGGTACCTTGCACACGCTGAAGCTTCCCTGTACCTGCAGAAGCAAAACAGCCCCAAAGCATGATTGACCCTCCACCATGCTTCACAGTAGGCAAGGTGTTCTTTTCATCATAGGCCTTGTTCTTCCTCCTCCAAACATAGCGTTGATCCATGGGCCCAAACAGTTCTAATTTTGTTTCATCAGTCCACAGAACACTATCCCACAACTTTTGTGGTTTGTCCACATGGCTTTTGGCATACTGCAGTCGACTCTTCTTATTCTTTGGAGACAGCAAGGGGGTACGCCTGGGAGTTCTGGCACGGAGGCCTTCATTACGCAGTGTGCGTCTTATTGTCTGGGCTGAAACTTCTGTACCCACATCTGACAAATCTTTTCTCAGTTCCTCAGCAGTCACACGGGGACTTCTCTCCACTCTACGCTTCAGGTAGCGCACAGCAGTCGAAGTCAGCATCTTCTTTCTGCCACGACCAGGTAGCGTTTCAACAGTGCCCTTTGCCTTGAATTTGCGAATGATGCTTCCTAAGGTGTCTCTTGGTATGTTTAACATCTTTGCAATCTTCTTATAGCCATTGCCCTTCCTGTGAAGAGAAATCACCTCTTCTCTTGTCTTCCTGGACCATTCTCTTGCCTTCACCATGTTTGTAACCACACCAGTAAATGTCTAGAAGGAGCTGAGTATCACAGTCATTTTAAAGCTGCCTAATTGGTGCTTATTATGCTTGATTGCTGCTCGGTGACATCCACAGGTGTTTTCAATACCTGATGGAAGCACCTGTATGAACCTCTGTTCTTCAGAGTGGTAGTCTTTAAGGGGTTGAATAATTGTGGCAATGAAGAAACCACATAAGAACCATTTACTACTGTATTACATAAACAATTGATGTCATTTTAGTTGCATTTGGGGTAGTTACAACGTCCTTGTAGGATTTGATTCTGAATACAATTCCAAATGTACACTATAGTCCCTAAACCCCTTTACAGCATTGGGGGTTGAATAATTTTGGCCACAACTGTATATATATATATATATATGCAGTACAGAAAAGTATTTGATCTCCTGCTGATTTTGAATGTTTGCCCACTCACAAAGAAATGATCAGTCTAAAAATCGAATGGTAGATGTATTGTAACACTGAGAGACGGAATAGCAACAAAAAATTCAAAAGAAATGCATGTCTAACAAAATTATGCACTGGTTTGTATGTTCATGAGGAAAATAAGTATTTGATCCCCTATCATTCAGCAGGATTTCTGGCTACAAGGTGTCTTTCATACAGGTAACAAGTCGAGATTAGAAGCATTCCCTTAAAGGGAGTGCTGCTGATCTCAATTTGTTACCTGTATAAAAGACACCTGTCCACAGGAGCAATCGAACAATCAGATTCCAAACTCTCCACCATGGCAAAGACCAAAGAGCTGTCCAAGAATGTCAGGGACAAGATTGTAGACCTACACAAGGCTGGACTAGGCTACAAAACTATTGCCAAGCAGCTTGGTGAGAAGATGACAACAGTTGGTGCAATCATTCACAAATGGAAGAAACACAAAACAACTGTCCGTCTCCCTAGGTCTGGTGCACCATGCAAGATCTCACGTCGTGGCGTGTCAATGATCATGAGAACAGTGAGAAATCATCCCAGAACTACACATGAGGATCTTGTCAATGATCTCCAGGCAGCTGGGACCACAGTCACCAAGAAAACAATTGGTAACACACTATGCCAACAAGGATTGAAACCCTGCAGTGCACGCAAGGTCCCTCTGCTCAAGAAAGCACATGTCCAGGCCCATCTGAAGTTTGCCACTGAACAATGATGCCATTCAGATATGATGCAGAGGAGAACTGGTTGAAAGTGTTGTGGTCAGATGAGACCAAAATCGAGCTCTTTGGCATCAATTCAACTCGCCGTGTTTGGAGGAGGAGGAATGCTGCCTATGACCCCAAGAACACCATCCCAACTGTCAAACATGGTGATGGAAACATTCTGCTTGGGGGGTGTTTTTTTCTGCTAAGGGGACAGGACAACTGCACCGCATCAAATGGACGATGGACAGGGCAATGAACTGTCAAATCTTGGGTGAGAACCTTCTTCTCTCAGCCAGGGCATTCAAAATGGGTCGTGGATGGGTGTTCCAGCATGGCAATGACCCAAAACACACGGCCAAGACAACAAAGGAGTGGCTCAAGAAGAAGCACATTAAGGTCCTGGAGTGGCCTAGCCAGTCTCCAGACCTTAATCCGATTGAAAATCTGTGGAGGGAGCTGAAAGTTGCCAAACATCAGCCACCAAACCTTAATGACTTCAAGAGGATCTGCCAATAGGAGTGGGCCAAAATCCCTCCTGAGATGTGTGCAAACCTGATGGCCAACTACAGGAAATGTCTGACCTCTGTGATTGCCAACAAGTAATTTGCCACCAAGTACTAAGTCATGTTTTGTGAAGAGGATCAAATACTTATTTCCCTCATGAACATGCAAATCCGTGCATAATTTGTTAGAAATGCATTTCTTTTGAATTTTTTGTTACTAATCTGTCTCTCGGTGTTACAATACACCTACCGTTCAATTTTTAGACTGATCATCTCTTTGTGAGTGGGCAAACATTCAAAATCAGCAGGGTATCAAATACTTATTTCCTTCACTGTGTGTGTGTGTGTGTGTGTGTGTGTGTGTGTATATACAGTTGTGTTCAAAATAATAGCAGTGTGTTGAAAAAAAGTGAATAAAGCTAAAAATCCTTCTAATAGCTTTTATTGCCATACACACAAATGCATTGGGAACACACTACACATTCTATTCCAAATCAAAACATGAAGAAAAACATATCAAATTTGTGTTGTTCCTCTAAAAAAATTGAAGAAAAGTGAATATTAGGCTGTTCAAAAAAATAGCAGTGTTTGTATTCTTCTTTACAAACTCAAACATTCACTATATAAACTGAAAAAATTTAGAAGATTTTGCTTTCCTTTGAATCACTTAATTAATATTTAGTTGTATAACCACTGTTTCTGAGAACTGCTGTACATGGAGTCAACCAACTTCTGGCACCTGTGAACAGGTATTCCAGCCCAGGATGATTGGACTACATTCCACAGTTCTTCTCTATTTCTTGGTTTTGCCTCAGAAACTGCATTTTTTTCATGTCACCCCACAAGTTTTCTATTGGATTAAGATCCGGGGATTGGGCTGGCCACTCCATAACGTCAATCTTGTTGGTCTGAAACCAAGATGTTGCACGTTTACTGGTGTGTTTGAGGCCGTTGTATTTCAAGGGCATTTCCTCTTCAGCATAAGGCAGCATGACCTCTTCAAGTATTCTGATGTATTCAAACTGATCCATGATGCGATAAATAGATAAATAGGCCCAACACCGTAGTATGAGAAACATCCCCATATCATGCTGCTTGAGCAACCATGCTTCACTGTCTTCACAGTGTACTGTGGCTTGAATTCAGTGTTTTGGGGGTCGTCTGACAAACTGTCTCCGGTCACTAGACCCAAAAAGAACAATCTTACTTTCATCAGTCCACAAAATGTTGTGCCATTCTTTTTAGGCCAGTCAATGTGCTCTTTAGCAAATTGTAACCTCTTCAGCACGTCTTTTTTTTTTCAACAGTGGGACTTTGCGGGGGCTTCTTGCAGATAGCTTGGCTTCACATAGGTGTCTTCTAATTGTAACAGTACTCACAGGTGACTTTAGACCTTCTTTGATCTTCCTGGAGCTGATTGTTGGCTGAGTCCTTGCCATTTTGGCTATTCTTCTATCCATTCGAATGGTAGTTTTTTGCTTTTTCTTCCACGTCTTTCAGGTTTTGGTTGCTATTCTAAAGCATTTGCGATCATTTTAGTTGAGCAGCCTATCATTTTCTTCTTTATATGTTTTCCCCTCTCCAATCAACTTTTTAATCAAGGTACGCTGTTCTTCTGAACAATGTCTGGAACGACCCATTTTCCTCAGAATTTCAGAGAGAAATGCACTGTAACCAGCATGTGCAACATTAGCTGCCTTCCTTCCTTAAATAAGGGCAATAATTGCCACCTGTTTTTCAAAGAATGAATGACCTCACTAATAGAACTCCACACTGCTATTATTTTGAACATGCCCCTTTCAATTAGTGATTCAATTACACAGAATCAGCAGCATGAATGTTGGATTTCTATTACTCTACTACACCTGCTAGCAAATTATTTGCCATGTAGAAATATAATTTCTACCAAAAACAGTGATTTATCAGGTTAGTGAATTTTGACTGCTATTATTTTGAACACAACTGTGTGTGTGTGTGTGTGTGTGTGTGTGTATGTATATATATATATATATATATATATATTTCAATTATTTCACTACTTGGCATTAATAAGAGGTCCAGAACCTCCTTTGGTGCCATCTTTTAAATGAGAGACATATTACTTCTTTTCTTGCTATCTGGCTCTTCTAAAGACTTGCTAACCATACATGACTCGAATTTTGGCCGATACCGGCTGAGTCAGACCAAATTCAGTTTTGAAATTTAAGTATTCAGGCATAAAATTCTTGGCTGAGCAGTGACTGTAGACAGTCAAATGAAGCCACTGTTCAGGTATGGATAATATCATACACAGGCGCATTTAAAATGTGCGGTCGGTGAGTGCGCATTTTTGCTATTTTGATTCCAGTCACCTAATGAGGAGAAGGCCTGCACATATTTGGTTTTATTATTGCAAGAAAGACTCTATGAACGAATTTATACTAATTTTATCACATTACAGCGCTGCACTATATATATGTATAATGTCTTTGTTATGAGGTCTAGTGATCCCTTGAAGTGTTCCAGCGGCTGGTTTTTCTGAGCGCTCGCTATACCCACAATTCATTCACTGTTCAGGTATTGTTGACAGCCACAGGAGCAGCTGCTGTCAGAATACTATAGCCAATATGGGAAGATTTCTCCATCCACATTGTTTTCAGCCCCAGGCTGAACAGAAGAAAACTACTTGTTCAGCTAGCCTTATCCTGTCCCTTTAAGTTTTCAGGTCAACAACCTGCCTACAGATCTAGATCTACTACTTTTAATGGAAATGTGCTTTTTTTCAAAGCTCGGCATGAGGCTGCAGCAAGACCCCATCCATCAGAGGATTTTTCTTCCCCCAGAGTGTGCTTTGATCAGACAAGGTAATTAATTCTGAGTTTTCACGTTTTAATTTATTTACTGCACATTTAAAGGTACATTGTTCTCTAAGACAAATCTTCATTTAAATAATAAAACAATCAATGGTGATGTGCTTCATTAAAATAATCAATGGTGATGCATTTTATTATTTTCTGCTATGAATCCAACAAAATGTGAAAGGTTATTGACGGATTACATTCATTGGGGTGAGTTTTGGGGGTCCATATGCTACAATGATTAATAGGAATGTGCAACACATGCACACAGTCTGCTTGTCTGAAAGGTATATTAATGCTCTGCTGTCTCTATTGGTAAATCCTCGAAAAGGCCCAGACTTCTATTAAACCTATTGATAGTTAAAGGTAAAGGCACCATTTATTACTGAAGTTGAATTGATATATTTCTTCCTCTGTAAGTTTCAACTTTGTAAGTAACTAACACAAATAATGCATATTAAATTTTGTATATTTCAAGTACTTTTTGGATTGTGGATTTGACATGAATACCCAAAAAAAAACAATTTCTATTTTCCCTATTGCAATAGAAAAATGTGCTAAATGTACATTCTTTTATGATATGTATGTAAGGGTACAACCTTTGTATGTGTAGGGTACCTTGCTATCCAATTACTCAGTACTGTCTGCCTAATGTTGCTGGTATTTTCTATAATTGAGAAAAAAATATATAAGCCTGTAACCTGGTCCTCTGTTCACACATTCAAAAATTCTATCAGGAGGATGTTTTAGCCTTAGCAGGTGTTTTGGACTCAAAAGTGTCGCAAGGGGCTGTGTGAGTTCTTTTCTTGTTGGAACTGCAGGACTGTGTTGCCTGCCCTTCTGTTGGACTTCTTTAGGACATCCCACTTGTCCAAGAATACTATCTTCCTCAAGAAACAAGGATTTTTTTACTCGCCCTCTGTCAGGGACCCCAGTGGCTGCCGCGATTGCGTGTGGGTTTGCGCATGCGCAGTGTGCCCGGCCGCACTAGTGTGTGAGCATTGGGACCAGGGCACCCGCTAAAGCAATGGCGCTCACGCATGCGCACTCGCGATTGCGGGCACGAGCCTGGCACCAATCAGGGAGCAGGGCGCCCTATTTAAAACAGGATCAGACTGCAATGAATTGCCGTATGGTCTTACCTGTTTTCCTGAAGTTCCTGATTGTAGATTGCTTTGTTGCCGACCCTGCCTGACCCTGATTTGCTGTCCGTCTCCTGCTCTGATCCCTGGCTTGTCTGACCATTCTCTTGCTTAACCCTGTACGTTCTGACCTCCTGTTAACGAACCCGGCTTGTGACCTGTTTATCCCTCAGCCTGCTGATTTTGTACTACGCCGCCACCACTGTTACCGACCCGGCCTGCCCGACGCTGCTCCTGTTACCTCCTCACTTCAGACCCTCACCTGCCATACACCTCCAACGGTGCTTCTACCACAACTGGGTGAACCCAGGGGCTGTGACCTGGTCTCGGCCTGCTCCAAGTCCACCCCCACCATCAGGGGCCCTGGTGAACAAGCAGGTCGGAGCTTAGATTTCGCGCCTTGGGGGAATCCGGTCTGTGGAGTGCTAGAGGCTACCACGGTTGGATCCCTTACAGCCATGTCAGAGTCTGGAGGAGGACCTTCACTCTGGGAAGAGATGTGCCAACACCTGGCGGCACTCACACGAGCAGTGAAGACCCTGGAAGAGGGATACAAGCACCTGGAGGGACAGGTCCAGAGCTTGGCCGCACCAGCACCCACAACTTCAGGCACAGTGGGTACGCCTCCGACTACGAGTTCAGCGGGGTCTGCCGCTGGAGCAGCATTTACTATTCCTCCGCCAGAGCCAAGCGTACCGACCCCTTAGCAGTTCAATGGGGACCGAGGGAAGTTTAGGACCTTCCAAAATTCCTGCCAGCTGTACTTTGACCTGCAACCCCAGACCTTCTCTTCCGAATCGGTGAAGGTAGGATTTGTTATATCCTTGCTGCAGGGTGAACCCCAGGGATGGGCTCACCACCTGATGGAGGCCCACCACCCGCACTTGAGTACTGTCGCCACCTTCTTTAAGGCAATGGCACAGTTGTACGATGACCCGCACCAAGCTGCCTCGGCTGAGGCAGCTCTCTATTCCTTACAACAGGGACACCGGGCAGCGGAGGACTATGACGCTGAGTTCAGGCGATGGAGTGGAGATACACAGTGGAACGATGCAGCCTTACGCCACCAGTTCCGGTTGGGACTGTCAGAACCGCTGAAGGATGAGTTGGCGAGAATAGGAGTCCCAGACTCCTTGGAGGATCTAATCGATCGGCCCATCCAAATCAATAGCCGACTGCGGGAAAGGAGACAGGAGAGGTCCAGCCAGGGGCAGAGAACGTCATGGATGCTGCCAAGAGTACCAGTCATGCCAAGGGTCAGTGTCGGCAATCGGAGCCCAGAGCCATCAGATTTCTTCTAATATATCTACTGTGTGCGCAGGCAACCCCACTCACTTGGCTGTACCTGTGTCTTTTTCAGCTCCCCGGAGGAAGCATATAGGTGATGGCTATTATTGACTCCGGGGGGCTGTAGTTGCTTTGTCGATCTCGGTTTCGCTACCCAGCATCAGATACTGTTACTCGCCAAAGAGCATGGGGTGGATATTTTCCTGGCGGATGGGTCTCGAATAAAATTGGGGACGGTAGATCGGGAGACCCCTCCTATACACACCACGGTGGCGGGCTATCACCAGGAGCTTCTCCGCTTGGACGCCATCACATCCCCCCTATTTCCAGTTATTCTGGGGCTCCCTTGGCTACGAGCTCATGACCCCCAAATTGACTGGAAGACCGGGTCAGTCCAGTTCTACTCACGATACTGTCAGGAACATTGTTTACCTAGGGCATCACTAGATACACCAGCCCTGTTAGTTGTAAGCCCTGAGGCCGAGTTAGCTCAGATGGTGCCTGGGGCCTACCACCAATTCCTGGATGTGTTTAGTCCATGGGGGGCAGAGGTTCTTCCCCCACATCGGGCATATGATTGCCCCATCGATCTGCTCCCAGGCTCCGAGATCCCTTTCGGCCGCATTTTCCCACTATCTGAACGGGAACTAGGGGCACTAAAAGAGTACATAGACGAGAGTCTCCGGAAGGGATTTATCCGCTCTTCCACATCACCGTCCGGGTCAGGGATTTTCTTTGTTGAGAAGGACGGGTCCCTGAGACCTTGTGTTGACTACAGGGACCTTAATAAGATTACGGTCAAGAACCGCTACCCCCTTCCTTTGGTCCCAGAGTTGTTTCAGAGGTTGAGGACGGCATCCATCTTTTCCAAGTTGGACCTTAGAGGTGCCTATAACTTGGTTCGGATACGTGAGGGGGATGAGTGGAAAACGACGTTCCGCACTCGGTTTGGACATTTTGAGTGTCTAGTTATGCCTTTTGGGCTATGTAATGCACCAGCTACCTTCCAGCACTTTGTCAATGACATTTTTAGGGATTTCCTGGATATTTTTGTCATTGTCTATTTAGACGACATCTTGATATTTTCCTCATCTCTGGAAGCACATCGGGGACATGTTAAGAGTGTACTGGAACGTCTCCGTCAGCATGGCCTCTATGCTAAAGCCGAGAAATGCTGCTTTGAGCAGGAAAGCATTTCATTTCTTGGTCTAAATGATCTCCACCACGGGGATCGCTATGGACCCACAAAAAATCTCGGCCATCCTGGAATGGCCTGCCCCCACGGATAAGAAGGGAGTTCAGAGATTCATTGGGTTTACCAATTTTTTATAGAAAGTTCATAAAGAACTTTTCAGGCCTGGTAGCGCTCATTACCCAGCTCACCAAGGTAGGAGCACGTTTTCAGTGGGCTCCAGCTGCATAGGCAGCTTTTGAGTTATTGAAAAAGCTGTTCACAACGGCTTCCATTCTGAGCCACCCTGATGCGTCACTGCCCTACATACTAGAGGTAGACACATCGGAAGTGGCTGTAGGAGCGGTATTGTCACAGAGGGTAGGGGCCAAGGAGTTAATGCATCCAGTGGCTTTCTTTTCCAGGAAGCTATCCCCTTCAGAAAGGAATTACGATATTGGGGATAGGGAGTTACTGGCCATTAAGACTGCTCTGGAGGAATGGCGATATCTGCTAGAGGGGGCCCTACACCCCATTCTGGTCTATACTGACCACAAAAACCTAGAGTATTTGAAAACAGCCAAACGCCTCCATCCATGCCAGGCCAGATGGGCACTGTTTTTCGCGAGATTTAATCTCCATATAACGTATTGTCCTGGGTCAAAGAACACTAAGCCTGATGCGCTTTCTCGGATGTTGAGGATGCTAGAGAGATGCCCCAGCCAGACACCATCCTGCCGGCAGGTAGCTTTCTATTGCTGCAGTCGGAACTATTGTCTAAATTGCAGGCTGCTTCCATCCGGATTCCTGACCTGACTGGAGTCTCCCTGCTGAACAAGGAGGGTCTTTTTTGGAGGGGGGAACCGATCGTACCAAAGGAGGTCCAGTCCCTGGTGTTAGGTTTCTGCCATGACCATCCCCTAGCGGGACACTTCGGGATACATAAGACCTTAGATCTGACACAACGTACTTTTTGCTGGCCAAACATGGCCAAGGACTGTGAAGCCGACGTGAAATCTTGCCCCATCTGTAACCAAAATAAACCCACCAGAGACAAAGCCTGGGGCCTATTGAAACCTTTACCAATACCTGACCGACCCTGGAGTATGATCTCTTTAGATTTTATTGTTGAATTGCCACCCTCCCGAGACCACACTGTAATCTTTGTGGTAGTTGACCGCCTTTCTAAAATGGCCCATTTTCGTCCACTAGCCAAGACACCATCGGCCTCCGAAACAGCCCAAGTATTCATTAAAGAGATTGTGAGGCTTCACGGAGTGCCAAAAGAGATTGTCTCGGACCGGGAGTGCAGTTTACTTCCAGATTCTGGAAAGCGCTATGTAAGTGGCTGGAGATTAAGTTATCTTTCTCGTCAGCATATCACCCCCAGACAAACGGCAGACAGAGCGTACCAATCAGACGCTTGAGCAATATCTGGGATGCTATACATCTTTTCTGCAGGATGACTGGCTGACACTTCTACCCATGGCAGAATTCGCATATAATAATGCGAATCATTCCGCCACCAACCAATCTCCATTCTTCGCTAATTATGGGTTCCATCCTACCTTCCTGCCAGACTTGGTTCCTGAGAACCCAGTCCTGGCAGCCCAGGACACCTTAGAATTCTTCACTACCAATAACAAGCTATTACAGGAAACAATAGCTAAGGCCCAAGAAGACAGTAAAAGGTTCTGTGACAGGAGGAGAAAGGGAGAATTGGTTATACACCCTGGGGATCGGGTTTGGTTATCAATGGTCAACCTAAAACTGACTTGCCCATCCAGAAAATTGCCACCCAAATATGTGGGGCCCTTCCAAGTAGAACGCAAGATTCACGAAGTAGCGTTTAAACGGACTCTCCCTGAATCCCTCAAGATACATCCAGTCTTCCATGTATCGTTGTTAAAACCTGCAGTTCCAGATCCCTTTTTAGACCACAGGTCTAGACTTCCAGAAGCGATAGATATCAACGGGGAGGAAGAATTCAAGGTGGAAGCAATTTTGGATTGTAGGAGGAGGGGTGGTCAGGTACAATATTTAATGAAGTGGAAAGGCTATGGGCCAGAGGAAAACTCGTGGGAACCTGCCCAGAACATCCATGCCCCCAGATTAATGCGGGAATTCCTACATAACCAGCCCCAAAGGAGGAATCGGGTAGGCATCCGGAGGCTGCCCGTAAGGGGGGGGGGCAATGTCAGGGACCCCAGTGGCTGCCGCGATCGCGTGTGGGTCTGCACATGCGCGGTGTGCCCGGCCGCACTAGCGTGCGAGCATTGGGACCAGGGCACCCGCGATTGCAACGGCGCTGGGCACTTGCGATCGTGTGGGGAGCGAGCCTGGCACCAATCAGGGCGCAGGGCGCCCTATTTAAAACAGGATCAGACTGCAATGAATTGCCGTATGGTCTTACCTGTTTTCCTGAAGTTCCTGATTGTAGATTGTTTTGTTGCCGACCCTGCCTGACCCTGATTTGCTGTCTGTCTCCTGCTCTGATCCCTGGCTTGTCTGACCATTCTCCTGTTTAACCTTTAGAATTTGAGGTTGAGGTTATGAGTACAACATTTCAGCAAAGCAATGGTCAGCACTGCTGGCAGCAGTAGAGGTATTTACTTCTTTGCAGGGAGAGCCTTTACTGGCATTTCTATTTTAATAACAGAATCACTTTAACCACTTGCCCTCCAGAGGATTTACCCCCTTCCTGACCAGGCCATTTTTTGCATTACAGCGCTGCATTGCATATGCCACAACATATTCCTCTGCGTACAGCTCTTTCCTATGTTTGCAGCTCTTCAGCTCTCTCCTCTCTTCTATGTGTGCTAAGTCCCATTATCCCTCTCTTCTATGTGGGTTTCTTCCCTTTCACCCCTCTCCTCTGTGTGCAGCTCTTCATACCTCTCACCCCTCTCATCTGTGTGCAGCTCCTCATGCCTCTCACCCCTCTCCTCTGTGTGCAGCTCCTCATGCCTCTCACCCCTCTCCTCTGTGTGCAGCTCCTCATACCTCTCACCCCTCTCCTCTGTGTGCAGCTCCTCATACTTCTCATCCCTCTCCTCTATGCAGCTCCTCCTACTTCTCACCCCTCTCCTTTTGTGTGCAGCTCTTCATACCTCTCACCCCTCTCCTCTATGCAGCTCCTCATGCCTCTCACCCCTCTCCTCTGTGTGCAGCTCCTCATACCTCTCACCCCTCTCCTCTGTGTGCAGCTCCTCATACTTCTCATCCCTCTCCTCTATGCAGCTCCTCCTACTTCTCACCCCTCTCCTTTTGTGTGCAGCTCTTCATACCTCTCACCCCTCTCCTCTATGCAGCTCCTCATACCTCTCACCCCTCTCCTCTGTGTGCAGCTCCTCATACCTTTCAACGTGTGTGTGTGTGTGTGTGTGTGTGTGTGTGTGTACTCGGACTTTTTTTTTTTTTTCTCTTTGCTGCTCCCTAGACCTTCTATTTATTGTCTTCACAGGCTGCTTTCCTTTCCTCTGATCACTTCTTCTGCCTTCTTTGTGGAGATGTACTCTGTAATTTTCTTTTAGCCCCTTTCTCCTTATAACAATTGTGTAACCTGTTACTCTTCTTTTGTGTGTGCAAGGGCTGCTTTTCGTGTGTCTTCTCTGCAGTGTATAGACCACTTTATCTCGGTGTGAAGGCAGTCACTGTTTCACCTCTCATAACTTTTCTCCGTATGCAGCTTCACCATCCTCTCACCAGTCTTTTCACTCGACTTTCCTGCGTGCAGCTACAGGGACCTCCAGTCCTACTTTTCTATGTTCAGCACATGAGATCTGTCACACCTATCTTTTGTGTGTAGCTCCTGAGAACTCCTGGGACCTCTCAGTCATCTCCTCTTGTGTTCAGACAGGCAAATATATAAAATTTAGATTTAGGTGATATTCATCACCAAGAATATGTTGTTTATATATATATATATATAGAGTAATGTAAAAATTTGGATGTTGTTAACCTTACGCAATCTGTTCTGTCCCACCAGGCAAATAAGTAGAGGAAGTATTGCAGGTGGTCTGATGAAGGGAGCCCTGTCTGTGGCTGCATCTGCCTACAAGGCTCTTTTTGTTGGTCAACAAGAGAATCCTATGGTAAGTTCATTGTTTTATATTTGGAGAACAAAATAAGAGATGAACAGTACTACCTCGCTGACATACTTAGTTTATAATTGTCACAGCTGCTCCCCCCCTCCCCCCTCAGCCCCTTGCTCTGTCCCTGCTCTCTCTGCCATCTCTCATCCGTGCCCTTCTTCCCTCCTGCAAAGATTAAAGGCATTCCTAAGACAAGCTGGAGCCACGCTACCTCCGGGCCCCCCCCGATTGCCTAGGTGACTAGGGGGTTCGACCAGTTTTAAGAAGCTGATGCCAGAGCTCCCGAGGTATTCACCGCTGTGTAGCTGACGGAAGGGGCCCGGGCTGTGGCCGGGACCTTTTTGTGGCCAGGCTCGGCAGGGACCCAAGGCTGCCTAGGACCCCCCTTCTCCCAGAGCTGGGGAAGACTGTCTGCTAAACACCAGGGATCCCTGAGTACATGCTCTGTGCCTGCTTCACTTGAACTGTTCTTGTGCTGACCTCACACCAACCCCCCCTGTTGGATTACTTGCTACAGAGACTCACACCAAACTCCCTGTTGGATTACTTGCTACAGAGACTCTCCCTTGGCTCTCGGTGTTGGATTTTACGTGTGTTGGTCCTTCCGTGTCTCCCTGTGTGTTCTGTCCTGCCTACGCTCCATCACACTGGTTGGCAGCGGTGCAATTAGGACACTGAGGAGATGGCAGACAGCGGAAGCCAGCAGATGGGGGAACAGGCCCAGCCCAGCGAATACAGGAAGTGTACTGTGGCATCTGCAGGAGAGGGCCGAGCAGCTGTCCCTTACCTGGAGGGGCCTAGCCAAAGAGGATCTGGTCGCAGCCATTGAGGAAGCTGATACCCAGGACGCTCCAGCAAGTGAGAAGAGCAGGCCCACCCCAGCCTCCCCAGCACGCCATAATCCAGGGCCCAAGAGCCCCTGGCTTACTCGGGTGGAGGAAGAGATGGCCCTCCTGGGGTCAGACGCCACGGTAGAGGACAAGCGAGAGGCTATCCGGAGGGCGCATGAAACAGAGAGCCAAGGGAGCCACCGTGAGCTAAGCTGTCCTTCCAGCCCCAGAGTCGCGGGTTACCCCCCCTCCCCGGGTCAGCTGCAAGGACTTTAAACCCTTCAACGAAGCCGCCAGGGATGTGGAAGGGTTCTTTCAGGACTTTGAGCAGCAGTGCCAGCTCATGGAGGTGCCAAGCACGGATTGGATACGGCACCTCCTAGGTCTGCTAGAAGGGGGTGTAGCTGCGGCCTACCGCACTCTGGATTATGTGGATGGCCGGGATTACGCCCGGGTCCAACAGACTGTGTTGGAGTATTACGCGGTGACCACAGAAGTGCATCGGGTGTGCTTCCGTGACCTGCCCTGCCATGCGGAGCCATCCTATCGGATGTATGCGCACAAGATGTCTCAGTCCTGTCGGAGGTGGCTAGATGGGGAACAGGCCCGCACCGCAGAAGAAATTATCCGAACATTTCTAAAGGAGCAATTCTACAACCAATGCCCGGCGGAGGTGCGCGGATGGGTAAGAGAGAAAGCCCCTACCACCTTTGCAAAGGCCGCTGCCCTGGCCAAGGAGATCTTGGCCATCAAACCATACTGGAAATGGCGGGCCCCTGAGCTGCCAAGGGCCCCGCCCCCCATCACCTCTGCCAAAAAACGGGCCCCCCACCTACCACTGCCAACTCCGCAGGACCGCCACCCAGTGCCTGGTTCACGGGGCCCCCCATGGACCGCCGCTGCTACAGCTGCAACCAGCCGGGGCACCTCCAAGCCAACTGCCCCACCTCCCGAAGCCGCCGCTTCCCCTGCCCGGTCCACTACCTGGAGCTCCATCCCGCAGAAGAACCACTGCCCCCACCTCCCAGTGAATGGATGGGCTTCCCAGAAGACAACCACTCCCGGGGGTTTACAGTGTCCCACCCCCCGGGGGCTACATACCCCACCCAGAAACAGCACCACCTGCAGGTCGTGCGGGTGGACGGTAACCCGCCACCGGTTTTTTGATACCCTCGCCTTCTTGACCATCGCCGACCCCCAAGTGATCTGGCCAGAAGCCAACCAACCCGGCCCTGGATTCGCCATCGAGCTGGTGGGAGGAGCCAGACATCATATCCCCAGAGCATCCGTACACCTCGACTATGGGTTCAGGGAGCAACAGTGCCAGATCGGCGTCATAGGCGGCTTTCCTGTGGATGTTCTGCTCGGCAACGACCTAGGGGAGCTACAATGCCAGTACGTCGGGGAGGTGACCTGGAGCCAAGCAGGTCAAGGTCCTCCTACAGACGAAGCCACAACGGGACCTTTCCCCAGCATGGATTCGTTCCACGGCCCAGCCCCTGTCCGACCTGACCCAAAAGAACAGTCCCTGGATGGTGACCTGGACCTCGGACTGTGAATCTGCCTTCCGTGATCTCAAAGCTGCCCTGGCAAGCAACCCCGTCCTGGCCACCCCTGACCACAACAGACGCTTCCTTGTGCAGACAGATGCCTCCACCTACAGTCTAGGGGCTGTCCTCAGCCAAATCAATGAGGCTGGGGAGCAACATCCCGTCGCTTTCCTCAGCCGCAAACTACTGGACGGGGAAGTTGCCTATGCTACGGTGGAGAAGGAATGTCTGGCCATAGTCTGGGCCCTAAAGTAACTACAGCCCTACCTGTACGGCCGGGACTTCACCATCGCCACCGATCACAACCCCCTCACATGGCTGAACCGGGTGTCCGGAGACAACGGGCGCCTCCTTAGGTGGAGCCTCACCCTCCAGCCTTATAATTTCACCATTCAATATAGACGGGGCAGCCAACACCAAAATGCAGATGGCCTTTCCCGCCAACAAGATCCACAGTAATTAAGTCAGGGCCCACAAGTGCCTTCAAGGGACCCGGTTGGGTCCCCCTTGCCGGCACTTGTGAAATAGAAGGGGGAGGAGTGTCACAGCTGCCCCCCTTTCAGCCCCTTTCTCTGTCCCTGCTCTCTCTGCCGTCTCTCATCCGTGCCCCTCTTCCCTCCTGCAAAGATTAAAGGCATTCCTAAGACAAGCTGGAGCCACGCTACCTCCAGCCCCCCCCCCCCCCCGGTTGCCTAGGTGACTAGGGGGTCCGACCAGTTTTAAGAAGCTGATGCCAGAGCTCCCAAGGTATTCACCACTGTGTAGCTGACGAAAGGGGCCCGGGCTGCAGCCGGGACCTTTTCGTGGCCAGGCTCAGCTGAGACCCAAAGCTGCCTAGGACCCCCCTTCTCCCAGAGCTGGGGAAAACTGTCTGCTAGACACCAGAGATCCATGAGTACATGCTCTCTGCCTGCTTCACTTGAAGTGTTCTTGTGCTGACCTCACACCAACCCCCCCTGTTGGATTACTTGCTACAGAGACTCTCCCTTGGCTCTCGGTGTTGAACTTTAAGTGTGATGGTCCTTCCGTGTTGCCCTGGACTGGCGTATTCACCCTCCCTGCGAACTCCCTATTCAGTGACTGTCATCTGTTTGCCTCAATAAAGCTTTGTGCGTTTGCCATCTACTCTGTGTGTTCTGTCCTGCCTACGCTCCATCACAATAATATATACAGCTAGGTCCATATATATTTGGACACAGGCACAGTTTTCGTACTTTTGGCTCTGTATGCCACCAGAATAAATTAAAATGAAACAATCTGAATGAATTTGCAGTGCAGACTTTCAGCTTTAATTCAACGGGTTGAACATAAATATCAAGTACAAATTTTAGGAACTACAACTATTTTTTATACACAGTCCCTCCATTTTCAGGGGCTCAAATGTAATTGGACAAATGAATATAATCATAAATAAAATGTTCATTTTTAATATTTTGTTGAGAATCCTTTACTGGCAATGACTGTGTGCAGTCTGGAACCCTTTACCAAAGACTGGGTTTCCTCCTGTCTGATGCTTTGCCAGGCTCTAACTGCAGCTGTCTTCAGTTGTTCTTTGTTTGTGGGTCTTTCTACCTTTTAGTTTTGCCTTCAGCAAGTGAAATGGGGTTGAGATCAGGTGATTGACTCTGCCATTGCAGAATATTCCACTTCTTTTCCTTCCAAAGCTTCTGGGTTGCTTTTGCAGTGTGTTTTGGATCATTGTCTATATGCACTGTGAAGTGCCGTCCAATCAACTTTGCTGCCTTTGAATGAATCTGGGCTGACAGTATATCTCTAAACACTTCAGAATTCATCCGGCTGCTTCTGTCTTCTGTCACATCATCAATAAACACCAATGACCCAGTGCCACTGGAAACCATGCATGCCCATGCCATCACACTGCCTCCATCAGGTTTTACAGATCACGTTGTGTGCTTTGGATCATGAGCTGTTCCAAGCCTTCTCCATCCTTTTTTCTTCCCGTCATTCTGGTACAGATTAATCTTAGTTTCATCCGTCCAAAGAATGCTTTTCCAGAACTGGTCTGGCTTTTTTAGATGTTTTTTGGCAAAGTCTAATCTGGCTTTTCTCATCTTCAGGCTTATGAGTGGCTTGTACCTTGTGGTGAACCCTCTGTAGTTGCTCTCGTGAAGTCTTCTCTTGATTGTAGACTTTGGCAATGATACGCCTACCTCCTGGAGAGTGGCCTTCACTTTTCTGGATGTTGTGAATGGGTTTTTCTTTACCAAAGAGAGGATCCTGTGATCATTAACCACTGTCATCTTCCATGGAGATCCATGCTTTTTATGTTGCTGACCTCACCAGTGCGTTCTTCTTTCCACAGAATGTAACAAACTGTTGATTTGGCCACTCCTAATGTTGCTGCTATCTCTGATAAATTTGTTTAATTTTTTAAGCCTTACAATGGCCTGTTTCACATGCATGGTCAGCTCCTTTGAACGCATGATGTAGGTTCACAGCAATAGATTCCAAATGCAAATACCACAGACCTTAGAATCAACTCCAGACCTTTTACCTGCTTAATTGATGAAGAAATAATGAATCTTTAGCCTACACCTGGCCATGAAACAGCTTTTGATTCAATTGTCCAATTACTTTTGGTCCCTTGAAAAAAGGGGGA